AGTTGTGTAATTTCTTTAGCAAACTTCTTAATATTCTCCAAAGCAAAAATAAATTTAAACCAATCATATTGATAGTCTTGATTTCTAAAATTTTCTTCATTCACCTGTAATTCACATTGCAAGGATCTAACAACCTCTTGTGCAATTTTGACACGACCTAGTAAAGCAGCGCATATTTCATCGCTACATTTTGCATTTTCATAGATTGATAACATCTGGTTAAGTATAATCGTAACCATATTGAATGAGGGAACGAATGGAGCGATTATGTCTTATGCCTGACCAGCAACTTGAGTTGATCCTCCAAATCTTTTATTAAGTTCACCTTGTAAATGGGAAGCTTTATTATTGTGTATTTGTTGTGTATTATCATCGTATTTTTGTGAAGATATCAACGTAATAACTTCCCCTATTGCTGATCTAATTTCATATTTCATGCAATTCATTGTTTATATATTATGAAAAAAAAATTTATATAAATCAATATAAATTAATTCAAATTTATAATACACTACTTCTTTCAAAAATTCAAGGTCTTCGGCCAGATTTTTTGTATCTATTTCTCTTTGTTCAACACCATACGTAGTCATAGTAAAATCTAAAGCACTAAAAACCCTTCAAATTCTTTGATAATTTTTTCACAAGCATCTTTAACAGCTTTAGCAGACATAAACTTTCGAAAAGATGTTATTTGCGCAGCTTCTTTAGCAAATTCCTTAATCTTCTCCAAAACATTGACAAATTTAATCCAAGCATAATAATAGTCTTGTTTTCTAAACTTCTCCTTATTTATATGATATTTTAGTTCAAATTTTTTAGATTTAACAACAGTATGCACAAATTCAACACGATCTAATAAAGCAGAGCATATTTTTTCATTACATGTTGCATTTTCATAGATTGATAACATCTGGTCATGTATGTTCATAACTATGCTGAATAAGGGAACGAATGGAGCGATTACATCTTGTGTCTGACCAGCCACATGAGTTGGTTCTCCAAACCCTTCATTTAGTTCACCTTGTAGATAAGAATCATTATAATTGTGTTTTTGCGAAGATAATAACTCAAACTTTTCACTATATTCTTCCTGTAGATGAAAAGCCTTATCGTTTTTTTGTGAAGATACCAACATAGTAACTTCTCTTATTGCTAACCTAATTTCAACCATGATTTCATCTTTTGTGTCAATCATTGACTATAATATATTTATCGAATTTTTATTGAGATATATGTTAGAGAAAAAAAAGAGTTGTAAATAATATAAAGTAATTCAAAATTACAATACACTACCTTTTTCAATATTTCAAGACCTTCAGCCAGAATTTTTGCATCTATTTTCTTTGTTAAACATCATACTTAGCCACAGAAGAATTTAAATCACTAAAAGCTTCATTATATTCTTTATTATATTTTTCATAAGCATCTTTAACAGTTTTAGGATTTGACTTTTGAGAGTGCGCAATTTCTGTAACAAATTTTTTAATATTCTCCAAAACGTTAACAAATCTAATCGAAGCATTTTGATAGTCTAGATTTCTAAAAAAATTTTCATTGGCCTGATATTTGCGTTCAAATGATTTAACAGCCTCTTGTGCAATTTCAACACGATCTAATAAAGCAGCGCATGTTTGTTTATTACTGCTTGAATTTTCATGTATTAATGCTATCTCTTTAACTAAGCTTTTAACCATGTGGACTAAGGGAACATATGGAGTGATTGCTTCTGCTAAGGAAACATTTGCAGTGACTGAAATATTTGCAGAGACTATATCGACTATATCTGCTACGGAAACATTATCATCGTGTTTTTGTGAAGACATAAATTAAGCAGAGAACGAAAAAGTGTTTTTCTTAAAAAAGTAACATGAATAAAATCTAGAATGTACATAAGTACACACATACGTTGTGAGCGGCTCCGGGTCCCTCACTTGATAATTTTTTTTTTTTATCAATTTATTTTATTTTTTTTATTTTTTTTTTTTTTTTTTTTTTTTTTTTTATTTTCTTTTTTTTTTTT